CAGATTCACTGCAAAGAGCTTGGGTTTTACAATCAGACTCTGTCACTTACATGCACTGGAACCCTGCACAAATCCCTTGTCAACATCTGTTTTTGCACCTGTGAAACCGTGATGTTACTTCCTTGTGTCGCTTTGTGAAGAATAGGTGAGATAATGTATATAAAATGTCTCACACATAGTTGATGCACTAGAAATGTTAATAACCCTGTGGGAGAAAACAGGGTTTGTTTTTTTTTGTTTTGTTTTTTGTTTTTTTTTCTTTTTTTTAAATAGACATGGAGTCTCCCTGTGTTGCCCAGACTGGTGTTGAACTTCTGGGCTCAAGCGATCTTTCTGTTTCAGCTTCCCAAAAACTGAGATTATAGGCTTGAGCTACCACGCCAATTTTTTGTTTCTTGTTTTTACCAAGTTTCAGGGTAGAAGGAAATGAAGGTCACTGTTTCAGATGAATGGGAAAAGGTCCTTAGAAGTTGTGTGGGAGTTTGGCATTTCCTTTTGACTACTGAGCCTCTCTGTTTATGTTTTCATTCCTTTGTCTTTGCTTATAAAGGCCACTGGTGGGAAGTTTAGTTCTAGGGTCATCTGCTTTAAGAGAAAAAACTTTCCAGCTATGCAACAAAGCAGGACCCCCTACCTCTACAAAAATTTTAAAATTAGCCTAGTGTGGTGGTGCACGCCTGTGGCCCCACCTACACAGGAGGCTGAGGCAAGACGATCACTTGAGGCCAGAAGTTTGAGAACAGCTTGGGAAACAGTGAGACCCCATCTGTACAAAAAAATTTAAAAAGTAGTAGGCATGGTGGTGTGCGCCTGTAGTCCTAGCCACTTGAGAGACTGAGGGCAAGAAGATTGCTTGAGCCCAGCAGGTCGAGGCTGCAGTGAGCCATGTTCATGCCACTGTACTCCAGCTCGGTGACAGAGCCAGACCTTGTCTCAAAAGAGACAAACTTCTGTTTTGCATCTGAGGAAATCAGTGCAGTTACAAAAGCATGTTTCCTTCCTATGTTGATATGTAGGATTTAATAACTTAAATAGGACTAAAAGATATTTAACTAAAATGAGCGACTTGGATTTTTTTTTCCCCCAGGTTTTAACCTTTTGTATTCATTTTCTTAGAAGCAAGAAAATATGTTCCACACCCATGATTACGTGATTGTATACCCAGGCCTTTTTATCTGTGTGTATAATAATAAAACTGGTGTTAAAATATAGTATGTATTTGCCAGGTGCAGTGGCTCACGCCTGTAATCCCAACACTTTGGGAGGCCAAGGCGGGTGGATCACAAGGTCAGAAGTTCAAGACCAGCCTAGCCAACATGGTGAAACCCGTCTCTACTAAAAACACAAAAAGTTAGCCGGGCATGGTGGCAGGCACCTGTAGTCCCAGCTACTCGGGAAGCTGAGGCAGGGGAATTGCTTGAACCCAGGAGGTGGAGGTTGCAGTGAGCCAAGACTGTGCCACTGCACTCCAGCCTGGGCAACAGAGAGAGACCCCATCTCAAAAAAATAATAATAATAAATAAATATATATGTGTGTGTGTATGTATATATATATAATGTATTGATAATGTGTGTCTGTGAGTCAAAGTACAAAAGTTGTAAGACACAGGGTTCTTAATAAAACCAAGGAAGTGACTGTATTCTTAATTTTAAATTTAATATTTTTTTTGAATAGGTATTGTTTATACACATTGCAGAAGTCAAAACACTATTTAAAAAGTGTCATATATTGAGACATCCCATGCAGGTCTTTATCTTTCTCTTCTCCCAAAACCCACCTTTCATAGGTCACTACTCTTACAAGTCTTTCTGTATACCCTTCCAGTGTTTCTTTTTGGAAATACAAGCAAGGAGGACTATATTTATTCTTATCTTACAACCTCCATCCCCTAGCTCAAAAGATGGCATTCTAGACATACTATTCTGCAGTTTGTTTTACTTCACAGTATAACTTAAGGATCTTTCCATCTCATTCTCCTGTATGTGGGTACTTGGCCATACTAGTCTCTTATATATGGATACATGGCTTGTTTCCAGTCTTCTGCTGTTACAAATAATGATGCAGTCGGCCAGGCACGGTGGCTTACGCCTGTAATGCCAGCACTTTGGGAGGCTGAGGCGGGTGGATCACGAGATCAGGAGATCAAGACCATCCTGGCTAACACAGTGAAACGCCATCTCTACTAAAAATACAAAAAATTAGCTAGGCGTAGTGGCATGCACCTGTAGTCCAAGTTACTCGGGAGGATGAAGCAGGAGAATCACTTGAACCGGAGGGGCAGAGGTTGCCGTGAGACGAAATTGCGCCATTGCCCTCCAGGCTGGGCGACAGAGCAAGACTCCATCTCAAAAAAAAAAAAAAAAAAAAAAGATGCAGTGATAACCTCGTATGTGTCATTTCATTTGTTTGAAATTGTATTTGTAGGATACATGTGACTGCTAGATCATAGGGCAAATGGATTTGTGATTTGGGTAGACATGAAAAGAGCGCCATATTTTTTATAACAAATCTAAAAAAGTATCTGGCCTTCGATAGTAGTTGACTCTTTTTTTTTTTTTTTTGAGACGGAGTTTTGCTCTTGTCACTCAGGCTGGAGCACAATGGCGCGATCTCGGCTCACTGCAACCTCTGCCTCTCACATTCAAGTAATTCTCCTGCCTCAGCCTCCCAAGTAGCTGGGACTACAGGCACGCACCATCACGGCCAGCTAATTTTTGTGTTTTTACTGGAGACGGGGTTTTACCATGTTGGCCAGGATGGTCTCGATCTCTTGACCTCGTGATCCGCCTGCCTTGGACTCCCAGAGTGCTGGGATTACAGGCGTGAGCCACCACGCCTGGCCCAGACACACTTATAACTGACATACCTAGGATAACAAATCCACTGCTGCAATAATGACATTAATCAATTCATGGAGGCACGGCCCTCATGACCTAATCATCTCTTACTAGGCCTCGCCTCCCAACACAGTTCCACTGGGGTTAAGTTTCCAACACATGAACTTTAGGGGACCAGTTCAAACCCTAGCAAATGGCATTTCACAGACAGGCTAGATAGAGATCAGATATTTATTACATCACATTACATAGTTACTTTCCCGTTTCGAATTCCCTCCGTCCCAAGGGCCACTTTTTGTTTTTAGTTGTAAAGCCAGCTTCCCACCTGAAGTTGGTGTTATAGTTCCTCATTAGTACTCAGGGATATTTACATGTGTTCAAAATGAATCTGAAAAGCAGTTATTTAAGTAAACCATATGTTAAGAAATAGGAGGTCTGGAAAAGTGGCTCATACCCATAATCCCAACACTTTGGGAGGCTGAGGTAGGAGGACCACTTGAGACCCCAGGAATTCAAGATCCGCCTGGGCAACATAGCCAGATCTCACATCTGCAAAACAAGACATGGAGATTCTGTTTAGAATTGATTGGTGTTTGATGTTTTTAACAGTTGCAAAATGCAAACTTTTCATTAAAAAAAAATGTATTGTTTATGTTAACCTTTTGTATACTGGATATTCTTCAGAATAAACCTATGAACTGCTGAATTATGGCATGTAGAAGTTAAGCGGTTTTTCCTAAATTCATAAACAGCTGTACAAACACCTAGGATTAGAAAAGAAGATGCTGAGGCTGGGCGCGGTGGCTCACACCTGTAATCCCAGCACTCTGGGAGGCTGAGGTGGGTGGATCACGAGGTCAGGAGTTCAAGACCAACCTGGCCAAGATGGTGAGGTTGGTCTCTACTATCTAACCGCGTCTCTACTAAAAATACAAAAATTGGCCGGGCGCGGTGGCTCAAGCCTATAATCCCAGCACTTTGGGAGGCCGAGACGGGCAGATCATGAGGTCAGCAGATCGAGACCATCCTGGCTAACACGGTGAAACCCGTCTCTACTAAAAAAAATACAAAAGGCCGGGCGCGGTGGCTCAAGCCTGTAATCCCAGCACTTTGGGAGGCCGAGACGGGCGGATCACGAGGTCGGGAGATCGAGACCATCCTGGCTAACACGGTGAAACCCCGTCTCTACTAAAAAAATACAAAAAACTAGCCGGGCGAGGTGGCGGGCGCCTGTAGCCCCAGCTACTCGGGAGGCTGAGGCAGGAGAATGGCGTGAACCCGGGAGGCGGAGCTTGCAGTGAGCTGAGATCCGGCCACTGCACTCCAGCCTGGGTGACAGAGCGAGACTCCGTCTCAAAAAAAAAAAAAATTAAAAAAAAAAACAAAAACAAAAACAAAAAACTAGCCGGGAGAGGTGGCGGGCGCCTGTAGTCCCAGCTACTCGGGAGGCTGAGGCAAGAGAATGGCGTAAACCCAGGAGGCGGAGCTTGCAGTGAGCTGAGATCCGGCCACTGCACTCTAGCCTGGGCGACAGAGCGAGACTCCATCTCAAAAAAAAAAATACAAAAATTAGCTGGGCGCAGTGGCAGGTGCCTGTAATCCCAGCTACTTGGGAGGCTGAGGCAGGAGAATTGCTTGAACCCGGAGGGGCAGAGGTTGCAGTGAGCCGAGATCATGCCGCTGCACTCCAGCCGGGGCGACAGAACGAGACTCCGTCTCAAAAAAAAAAAGAAAAGGAGATGCCAAACCACAACTGGGCTGTGTTTCAGTGGCGCGTCCCTAAATAAGGAAGGATGAACAGAAAGTGTTGCCTTCTTACCTGGCACCTAATGAGAGGGTAGTTGTTGCTCTGCTTTCTACCCCAGCTTCCCTTTAATACCGACAGTAAATCCCTTGGCCATGTTTATTTTCTTCATTCTATAAAAATGCCTATTTTAGGAAGGTTACGCTTGTTTGCATAAGTATAGTAGTACTTGCTATGTGCTAAGCATGGTGCTAAGCACTTGGCATGTATCATCTCATTACGTTCTTATGAGATAATATTTTATCTCTGTTTTGAATCCAAAATATTCTTCAAAAATTTGTTACTGCTGTAACTAAAACAACTGACCTACCAAACAAAGCACCTTGGACTAATTTTCTTTTTTCAAATCCCTCCTCAGCGTACCAGTAATGTTCGATCCACATTTTTCAAGGACTGTTTATATGAAGTATTTGATGACTTGGAGTCAAAGATGGAAGATTCTGGAAAACAGTTACTTCAGTCAGTTCTCCACCTGATGGAAAATGGAGCCCTCGTATTAACTACAAATTTTGATAATCTCCTGGAACTGTATGCAGCAGATCAGGGGAAACAGCTTGAATCCCTTGACCTTACTGATGAGAAAAAGGTAAAAAGTAAAGCATTGGTCCTTTCTTCAGGCTAGTGGATTGTATCTTCATCAGAAAAGCTGTTTTCTGCTTGGCATATTGGTATTCATGTAGAGCTAGAAAGGAAAATTATTTTCCCTGGTTGGAATTTTTGTTTTTCTTTCTTTTCTTTTTAAAGATCAAATCAATATACAGTAAAATGCATACAACTTAAAAAGTGTTCAGTTCTATGACTTTTGACAATTCCACCCAGTTTTAAAGCAAGATTAGTGGAAGTCATTTGAACTGTAAGATCTCTTTAGCACTCGACAATATTGAGTGGTGTGATACTGATAATGCTGGTTCTGTTTTCGTATACTTTTTTTTATGGCATTTATTGGAAATGTATGAAAACTACTTTATACTGATTGGAAGAACAACTTCCAGGCCAAGTGATGGCTGAATTGAGGTTAATGTTTAGTGGAAACCGCAGCAGACTTTGTTTTAGCATAGTCTGTACTGTACCTACCGTAATTATTGAACTACAGATGTTGATCTGTGTCAGCTAATGAGATGATTTCTTAAAGTCTCATTTGTCCTACTCTGTGCTTTTTGTAATTTTTTTCTACACTTTGTTTTCCTCAGGAATCTGCCTTTATGTCTGATTTAGAGCCCAACTAAGTAGAGCTGAATAGAAGAGTGATTTGCCCGCTGGCATTCAGTACTACAGTATTGCCCCTGCCAGAGTGGTAGCTGTAATACTGCTCTTGTGGTTTTGCTGACCTTGATGGCAGGACTTAAAGGGAACTGAATTTAGAGAAAAGTTGCCCCATGAAGACTAGTTCTCTCTGGCCCAAGTGTCTTCCGCTTACTCCCTCATATTCCACATGGTCAGCTCCTTCTTCATTTGTAACTCTCAACCTAGGGATCCCCTCCTGAGAGACCTTCTCTGACCATCCTATTTAAATTGGATACTTAGTTTTTGATCCAGTCTCTTGTCCATTTCCTTTGTAGCACTTACTATAACTTGCAGCTTTTTGGTTTTTTGTTTTGTTTTGTTTCGTTTTGTTTTTTGAGATAGTTTCGCTCTTGTTGTCCCAGGTTCAAGCGATTCTCCTGCCTCACCCTCCCGAGTAGATGGGATTACAGGCATGTGCCATCACTCCCGGCTAATTTTATATTTTTGGTAGAGACGGGGTTTCTCCATGTTGGTCAGGCTGGTCTCAAACTCCCGACCTCAGGTGATCTGCTGATCTCAGCCTCCCAAAGTACTGGGATTACAGGCATGTGCCTGGCCTTTTTTCTTTTTTTTTTTTTTGAGGTGGAATCTTGCTCTTGTCGCCCAGGCTAGAGTGCAATGGCGTGATCTCAACTCCCTGCAACCTCCTCCTCCCGGGTTCAAGCGATTCTTCTGCCTCACCTCCCGAATAGCTGGGATTACAGGCATCTGCCACCACGCCTGGCTAATTTTTGTATTTTCAGTAAAGACAGGGTTTCACCCTGTTGGCCACTCGAACTCCTGACCTCAGGTGATCTGCCCACCTTAGCCTCCCAAAATGCTGGGATTACAGGCGTGAGCCACCATGCCCAGCACAGTTTTTATCTTGGCCGTTTATCTGTTTTCTGACTGTTTACCCCATAGGAATAGTAACTTCACTTGGACAGGTATCATGTTAGTCTTTCTTACCCTCATAGCTCAGATAAAACCCTCATGTCTCAAATATGACAGAGTTAGGTGCTTGGTAAATATTTTTTTGATTAGTAAATGATTAGGCTGGGCACAGCGGCTCAGGCCTATAACCCCAGCACTTTGGGAAGCTGAGGTGGGAGGGTCACCTGAGCCTAGTTTGAGATGAGCCTGGGCAACATAGCAAGACCCCATCTCTACAAAAAATTTAAAAATTAGCTGGGCATGTTGGTTTGCCTGTGGTCCCAGCTGCTTGGGAGGCTGAAGCAGGAGGATCAATTGAGCTGAGGAGGTCAAGGCTGCAGTGAGTTGTGATCGCACTCTTGCACTCCAGCCTGGGTGACAGCGTAAAATCATGTCTCAAAAATAAATAGGCTGGGCACGGTGGCTCACGCCTGTAATCCCAGCACTTTGGGTGGCTGAGGTGGATGGATCACTTGAGGTCAGGAATTTGAGACCAGGCTGTCCAACATGGTGAAACCCTGTCTCTACTAAAAATACAATAACTAGCTGGGAATGGTGGTGCACGCCTGTAATCCCAGTTACTCGGGAGGCTGAGGCAGGAGAATCGCTTGAACCCAGGAGGCAGAGGTTGCAGTGAGCCAAGATTGTGCCACTGCACTCCAGCCTGGGTGACAGACCGAGACTCTGTCTAAAAATAAACAAACACGATTGAAATTTTAAAACTAGCAGCTCAAGTAGCTTCTATGCCGTTTGTGATAAAATTTCCAAAGATTATGACCAAGTATGTGCATGGATATCGGAAGCATAAGGACCTTTTAAAAGCTGAGGATATCTATCACATTTGATGTTTTCCTTCTCATTTCATCCTTGGGCCTCAAGATTTGCATTGTATTTTCAGCCCACATTAGGGGCAGTGTTGTAGTCTAATGGTTAAAGACAATGACTGGTAGTCAGAATGGGGCCTAGTAACATTCAAATTCTAAATCTCTGTGCCTCTTGACTACTTTCCTGATTCATAGCCTATTTCTCCAAAAGGTGATAAGGATAAATGTATGCTGTCTCCAGTCCTTGGGAAAATGGAGCCATGGAATCAGGTGGCTATTGCATTCACTGTCGTCTACATGATTATTCTTCGCTGGCAGCCTTTTAGGTTCCTCAGAGGTGACTGAAGTGATTTTTCTATCACTTATCTATTGCTGTACAAGTAATGGCCCTGAAACTTTGTGGCTTATAACAACAAATACCTTGTCTGCCCATGATAAAGTACATTAACAATTTGAACTGGGCTCAGTGACTCAGCTGGGCATTTCTTCTGCTGATTTTTGCAGCCTCTTGACATACCTGCAGACATCTGATGGCCGCACCAGGGCTGAGTGATATAAGGGGACCATAATTCCATGTCTGTCAATGCAAGCAGTTGGCCAGGCCACATATATTCTAACAGGCTAGCCCAGGCTTCTTCAGTTTCTTCACATGACAGCTGGATTCCAGAAGTAACACAAGAGGAGTAAGACTTCTTGTGCCAACACTTATCAAGCTTCTGCTTGTGTGTGTTTGCTAGTATCCCACTGGCTAAAAGCAAGCCATGTGGTTAGCCTGGAGTCACTGCGAAGAGGTGCCACACAACGGCCTGGATGCAGAGGCTTGATTTCTTGGGGCGATCACTGAAGCAGTTGTCCATAGCTCTCATGCATGTCACCGGTACAAAGGGTCCCTGTTGTTTCTGCAAATTATAACAAATTGTAATTTTTGTTGGTTACTTTCAAAGAGAAATCACCAAATTTGCTGTCATCATTCTTGACAGTCATTCTGGAAGTGGAAACTTAGACCACATCAGGTTTTGTACTCATGTCCTAGATCATGAAGCTAGAGAGTTTATGTCAGAAGTCTAGTCCTCCAAACAGCCTCTTGCCCGTTGTGACCTTTAAACAGGTGCCCAGCCCTGCCAAGCTGGTTGGGCTATGTGTGTGTCGTGCAGGTCCTAGAGTGGGCTCAGGAGAAGCGGAAGCTGAGCGTGTTGCATATTCATGGAGTCTACACCAACCCTAGTGGCATTGTCCTTCATCCAGCTGGATATCAGAATGTGCTCAGGAACACTGAAGTCATGGTGAGTGGGGCCGATCTTGCTGGTCTCAGGAACTCCTTCCTGGGAAATCTCTCTAAATATGCCATAGGTCTTAAAGGGAAACATCTTTTCATTAAGTGAAGACAGAAGGTCAGGGGCTAGGAGCAGTGGCCCGTGCCTATAATCCCAACACTTTGGGAGGCCAAGGGGAGAGGATCGCCTGAGGCCAGGAGTTCGAGACCAGCCTGGGCAACATAGCGAGACTCTGTCTTTACAAAAATAAAATTAGCTAGGCATCATGGTGCATGCTGTCCCAACTACTTGGGAGGCTGAGGCAAGAAGATCACTTGAGACTAGGAATATAAGGCTGTAGTGAGCTGTATCTAGAGCTGCTGCACTCCAGCTTGGGTGACAGAGCAGGACCCTATCTCTAAAAAAAGAAAGAAACTGGAAAGTCAGACATTCTTCCTGTGCTTTTTAACTTGTCAGTGTGCATGCTGTTGTAGGAGATGCAGAACTTTTCTTAAGGTATCAAACCCTATGATCCTTGTTTGTACTTAATTGACAGCCAGCAGATGGCATGCCATCATTGGCATCATCTTCACATACAAAGGATACATTGGTACCTTTATCATCATTTGGTTTATTAATAGCCCTCTCTATGTCAGAAATAATTGAGGCAGCTTCTTACAAACCAACCACTACTAGAGAATACATTCTAAAGAGACTTTGTATAAATGGCAATGGGCTTATATTGAATTAACCACACTCATTCACACTTACTCTTTGTGGAAAGCTTACTGATCTTCTGTGATGCACATTTTCGACTTGTTCAGATAAACATGTTCAAACCAGAAGTATTCACTGTCCCCCAGCTCTAAGAATCTTGTTTGCTATTTTCAGGACTGTGTCACATAGAATATAGCATCTTTAAACAATAAGGCAAAAGACCAAGAAAATGTATTGTCTGAAGCACAAGGGACTTTTTTTTTTTTTTACCCATTCTTTCCCAACATCTGCCGTAACTGCATCCATCTCTGACAGTGAGTGATCCCTTAGGCAGAGTCATTTCTGTGTTTTTTTGTGTGTATAAATATATACACACACATACTGATGTTCTAAGTATCAAACACCTTTCCTTGAGCAAATCTGATCATGGAATTATCTTCTCCGGTGACTCACAGTTCAGTTTGTAAGACAAAAAAAGGCAAATGTGGTCCAGAAATGGAAGGATTAAGATATATGAAGACCTCTTTACCTAATGACCTCTGGGCACAGAAATCTTAAAAAGTACGCCTGTAATCTCAGCACTTTGGGAGGCCAAGGCGGGCAGATCACTTGAGGTCAGGAGTTCAAGACCAGCCTGGCCAACATGGTAAAACCCTGTTTCTACTAAAAATAGAAAAATTAGCTGGGTGTGGTGGTGGTGCCTGTAATCCCAGCTACTTGGGAGTCTGAGGCAGGAGAATCGCTTGAACCTGGGAGGCAGAGGAGGTTGCAGTGAGCCAAGACCATGCCACTGCACTCCAGCCTAGGTAGCAAAGCAAGACTGTGTCTCAGAAATGAAATAAAAATAAAAAAAGTAAACTAGTGGCCGGGTGCAGTGGCTCACACCTGTAATGCCAGCACTTTGGGAGGCCAAGGCGGGTGGATCACTCGAGGTCAGGAGTTCCAGACCAGCCTGACCAACATGGCAAAACCCCGTCTCTACTAAACATACAAAAATTAGCTGGATGTGGTGGTGCACACCTGTAATATACTCAGGAGGCTGAGGCACGAGAATCACTTGAACTGGAGAGGTGGAGGTTGCAGTAAGCCGAGATCACACCACTACACTCTAGCCTAGGTAACAGTGAGACTCTGTCTCAAAAAATATATAAAATGTAAAAAATAAATAAACTACTGGACCGGTACACTGACACCGGCTCTATGAAACCTTTATTAGAGAGTCTACAGAAGAATGCCAGGTAGAGAGAAAATTTTAGACCAATCATCAAGTTACAGCAATAAGCGAGAGATCCCACTGCCTGATGGGACATACCAACCCATGTAAGTCTTGGTTAATTGGTCATCATAGTCTGCTCAATGTCGCATGACCTTCTTGGTTCATACCTGCCTTGAGTGTATCTTCACAATGTCAATATGTTGTATCTTTTCCTTCAAGAGAGAGATTCAGAAACTTTACGAAAACAAGTCATTTCTCTTCCTGGGCTGTGGCTGGACTGTGGATGACACCACTTTCCAGGCCCTTTTCCTGGAGGCTGTCAAGCATAAATCTGACCTAGAACATTTCATGCTGGTTCGGAGAGGAGACGTAGATGAGTTCAAAAAGCTTCGAGAAAACATGCTGGACAAGGGGATTAAAGTCATCTCCTATGGAAATGACTATGCCGATCTTCCAGAATATTTCAAGCGACTGACATGTGAGATCTCCACAAGGGGTAGATCAGGTAAGATGCATTTTGAAGCTGAGGGGAATCAGAGAACAACAGCTCTTCAGCCATTGGTGTATTTGTGATGGGCAAAATAGTTGCCAAGATGAGGAATGTAATGACTGACCAAATTGTAAAGGAGGCCACCGTCTTCAGGTTAGACTAAAGTGCCATTTGGATTATAGGAAAACAGACAAAAAGGAATGCTCGAGCCGCTCAATATAGACATAGGAAGATTGAAGAAAATAGATGTTCAGCCTCACTAGTTATCAATGAAATGCAGTTCGAATTTAGATTACAAAATAGAGAAGAAAGATCACTCCGTTTTGGCTAAGGCTGTAGAAAATAAATTTATTCATGGAGTATTTGTGGAAAGGTAAAGTTAGTACAACCTTTATAACCATAAATTTAGAGGATGTGATAAATATTTTCAAATCTTTGACCCAGAAATCCCATCAAAACAATTTGTCCTAGAAGAAATTTCTCATAGGATATAATTGGATGATTGCACAGTCACCACATATGTACAAAGATGCATATGTGGGAATGTAATCTCCATTGAATGTAGTGGCAAAAAATTGGAAGGAACGTAAAATTAGTAGAGAGATTCTACAGATATCCCAGTATTTATTTAACTGATGAAATACAATGAAGCCATAAAAGGGAAAATGTTTTCATTGCCATTAAAAAAAAAGAGACATATGGATAAAGGAAGAAAAAGCAGGTTGTAAACACCATGGTCACCTACATTCATATAGAATTGTACGGTTTTTTTTTTTTTTTTGGTGCGTATGGAAATATATCTGGAATGTTTTCTAAATTAAGTGGCTATCTTTATGTAGTAGGATTTAAAGTGTTGATTTTTTGGTTTCTGTGTTGGCATTTTCTATGATGATTATGTATTATCTTTACAAACAGAAAACTAACTTTTAGAAATGCTGTTTGGAAACGGATAATGGTGGTATTCAAGTCAGAGGATAGAGGTATCATTCACTTGATATTTTACCTCCACATTTTAACAATAAAGAGCAAAATGGTGATTAAAGATTCAGCTGATTAGTGGCTGCAGGAAATTCCCAGTAACCGCACAAAACACAGACATTTTTGGTATCAGCTAAACTGAAGAATGCTTTTTCGTTTGTTTTGTTTTGTTTTTTTGAGACGGAGTCTCGCTCTGTCGCCCAGGCTGGAGTGCAGTGGCGCGATCTCGGCTCACTGCAAGCTCCGCCTCCCGGGTTCACGCCATTCTCCTGCCTCAGCCTCCCGAGTAGCTGGGACTACAGGCGCCGCCACCTCGCCCGGCTAGTTTTTTTGTATTTTTTAGTAGAGACGGGGTTTCACCGTGTTCGCCAGGATGGTCTCGATCTCCTGACCTCGTGATCCACCCGTCTCGGCCTCCCAGAGTGCTGGGATTACAGGCTTGAGCCACCGCGCCCGGCCGAAGAATGCTTTTTCAAAACCTCACATTGCCAGGCTCCAGAGTATGGCTAGTTGTACTCATCCATCTAATTCCGAAAAAACTTTGCTGTTGTACACAAAATATTTCCTGAAAACTTACGTATTTTTTCATTGTCAACCTGAATGCATCTTAGGAGGGCAAAAGTACAGGTAATTTGGCCTGTAATCCCAACACTTTGGGAGGCCCAGGTGGGAGGATCACTTGAGGCCAGGAGTTGAAGATGAGTGTGAGCAACATAGTGAGACCCTGTCTCTGCAAAAATTTAGCCAGGTGTGGTGGCACACACCTGTAATCCAGTTGCTTGGGAGGCTGAGGCAGGAGGATCACTTGAGCCCAGGAGTTGGAGTCTGCAGTGAGCTATGATTGCATCACTGCACTAGTCTGAGCAATAAAGCAAGACCCCGTTTTTAAAATAAATAACATACAGGTAATTTAATAAACAAAAAGCAGTTTTCCTAAATCAAATCATCCCCAGATTTCTTAACTGAATCAGATGGCTTCAAGTAGAAAGAATTCTCCTGTAATGAAAAATTATACAGCTTCTTCCATGGCTATGCTTTGATGGAATCAGACTTTTAAAAGCCATCACCACGTGAACAAGTCTCATTTGTGAAAACTATTTACTATTCTTTGTTGGAAATGAGTTTTTCTGGTGTCCTGCAGTGTTCTAGACTCTTCTGCTGTTGTTTGCCCACACTTGAGACTTTGAGTAGGCTTTTCTGTTGCATATATTCTGTTTTCATTAGCAAGAGATACATATCCAAGTTCTACGTATTTCTTTTGATCTGTATGCTGAGGAAAGATGCTAAAATTTAAAACAGCAAAATCCCTCTGGATAACTGTTTCTGTTGCACTAAATCTTAGCAAAAAAAAAAAAAAAAATATGTCGTTAGACTGTTACATTACATAGCAAAGAATCAGTCAGGTTCCTTAGTGCACTGAGATTGCTCTAAGGAACCTTAACTGCTATTGTGGAATGGCACAAATTCTGTGATTAGCTGTGTAGGCTTCCCACCAGAGTAGCTTTCCCCAGAGTTACCTGTCATTAAGGTGTTCTGTATCTTTTAAAACAATCGGATTTTCAGTACGGCCAGAGTGCTGGTTGGGAATGGTCAGCTGAGTTTGTCACGTGAAATGCAGTAGAGCAGTTTCAGGTGAAAACATCATTTCATTTTGAAACAAGCCAACCTTATCTTTCACCCTTGCATAATGTTTCGAGTCTCTGTAGATATAGACTAGTAAGAGTTTACAGGTCTTTTGCTGTTGTTTTGTTTTTTAACACTGAGCGTTTGCTATGTGCCTGGCATCGTGTTGTATACTCACTTTTGCATAGTGGATATTAATTGTCCTCAGAGGATTCTGTAGTGTGTAATTATGCATATTTTAGAAAAGTCAAGCAATGAGAAAAAGAAAAATAATTCTTATAATCCATTACCATACAAGCAATCGTTTTGCTACCTTTTTTTTTTTTTTTTTTGAGATGGAGTCTTGCTCTGATGCCAGGCTGGAGTGCAGTGGTGCGATCTCGACTCACTGCAACCTCCGCCTCCTGGGTTCAAGTGGTTCTCCTGCCTCAGCCTCCTGAGTAGCTGGAACTACAGGTGCGTGCCATCATGCCCAGCTAATTTTTTGTATTTTTACTAGAGCTGGGGTTCCACCATGTTGGCCAGGATGGTCTCCATCTCCTGACCTCATGATCCACCCACCTTGGCCTCCCAAAGTGCTGGGATTACAGGCGTGAGCCACCATGCCCAACCCTTTTTATTTTTATTATTTTGATATTATTATTTCTTTTTGATACAGGGTCTTGCTCTTTCACCCAGGCTGCAGTGCAGTGGCACAGTCATGGCTTACCACAGCTTTGACCTCCCCAGGGCTCAAGTGATCCTCCTACCTCAGCCTCCCAAGTAGCTGAAACTAAAAGGCACATACCACGATGCCCAGCTAAATTTTGTATTTTTTGTACAGATGGGGTTTCACCATGTTACCCAGGCTGTTCTCAGTCTCCTAAGCTCAATCAGTCCTCCCACCTCAGCCTACTAAAGTTCTGGGATTACAGGTGTGAGCCACGGCACCTGGCCTTGGTACATCTCTGATGAAGTTTTCCCTGTGCATTTTTTCACAGTTGTAAACAAAATATACAGTTTCGGTCCTTTTAAAATTTAGTAGTGGATCATACATTTTCCCACATCCCTGTCTTATAACCACTATTTTAATTGACTTTTATATTCTGGTAGGGTTGTTACAGTTTACCTAATTATTCCTGTTAGGCAATGTCTGATCTTTTTTTTTTTTTTTTGCCAGTTTTTTGTAAGTCATGTTGTGAAAATAACATCTGTATCCCTTCAGTTTTTCCAATAATTTCCTTGATGAGTTCTCAGTGTAATCAGGTCAAAGATCAGGAACATTTCAGTAATTGATATATATTGCTAAATTGTTTTCCATGAGGGTAATACCAATATGTATATTTGAGTATCATGCCTGTTTATACTCTAATTGACCATATTTCTAATGACTATTTTCTTCCATGTGTTCAGTTTTTTACTTTTTCCGAACTATTATCTATGCCAGTGTTATCCAATAGAATTTTCTGCAGTCATAACAATACTGTATAATCGTCACTGTTCAGTATCATAGTTAGGAGCCACATGTGGCTATTGCACTGTTGAAATGTGGCGTGACTGAGGAAATAAATTTTTAATTTGAAACTAAGTAGCTGCATATGGCTAGTGCTACCATATTTTATATTGTGGGAGTATTCTGCTACTTTTCACTCTTCTGTTTGAATTTGCTCACTCACATGCCATTTGCCCATCCGTGGTGAGATTGAATTTTTACCTGAACTTGGTCCTCTGACTGTTTAGGGACAGCAGACACATGTTCCCTGTATATAAAATGTTTTGTCTACAAGCAATCATAGTGCACTGTGGAAACTCACTGCTTCCCTGTTAGGTAATGCAAGTCTAAAGACTACTCCAGTTTATCCTCTCTGCCTCCTTCTCTTCTCAATGATTGTTTCATTTCTAAATGCCATCCATTTCAAGCATACCATATATCCTCATCTCTTTAGTTTTCTTTTTGCTATTAATAGTTTTAGCTTTTGAGTCCAATGTCTGATGCTGATGTCCTCTGTTTAGCAGGGATGGTGAGAGAAGGTCAGCTAAATGGCTCATCTGCAGCACACAGTGAAATAAGAGGTATACTGTTTCCTATTCTACTCTTTATCACTCTGTAGCAGAAAGTCTTTCTAGGTCCTTGGTTAAGACTAGAGAGAATGTTACTTTGAACCTCACATTGCCAAATTTAAAAAAAAACACTATAGAGAATGATTTTCCTCTCCTACCCATTAACGATTCTATCTTTTCCTGTCAAGTCTATTACAATGTAGTGAAATGATCAGTTAATTTTGAAAGAAGTACTGCTGGGTGTGGTGGCTCAGGCCTGTAATCCCAGCAATTCAGGAGGCCGAGGTGGGAGGATTGCTTGAGCCCAGGAGTTTGAGACCAGCCTGAGCAACATAGCTAGATGTCATTTCTACAAAAAAAAAAAAAAAAAAAAAAAAAAAAATTAAAACACTGCCAGGTGTGGTGGTGTGCGCTGCAGTCCCAGCTACTCAGGAGGCCGAGGTGGGAGGATTGCCTGAGCCCAGTGAGCTATGATTGTGCCACTGTACTTGAACCTGGATGACAGAGAAAGACCTTGTCTCTAAAAAGTAAATAAAATTTTAAATAAATTACAAGATTCCTAGCATCTCCTGTCTTGCCTTCTGAAGGGTTAGGATTGACTTAAGTATCTGCAGCTTCCGATGCATAAACCTGTTTTGTGAAACTTCATTTTGTTCTCTTTTCTTTCTCCCCACAGGCTGTAGTACATGAGCGAGCTAGAGAAATCACCACCGTTAGACCAAGCTGTAAGGCCCTACCACGGACAGTGTTTAACAAATAAACTTACAAGAACCCAACACAACTCCCAGAAAGTAACAATAGTCAGAGGTTGAAGGGCGGGGTAGAAGAGGGGGGAATGTTCCAGCGTAATCCTTCATACCACCTGGTTCTTGATATTCTGCTGCCTGTTCAAGAATAAAAGTGACAGCAGGACCCAAATGCAGCTCCCGACCCACTCCCCAGGCTGGACATGCTTGTGTCCGCACAGCACACCAATGTGATACCTCCACTGACTGGCTGCAGCTCTGCATGGACTCGGGGTCTAGATGCCATGGAATCACTGTGGCTCTTGTTGCAGTTTTGTACTCTATACTTGGTTTTTCAATTAAGCTTAATGGCTTTTTTAAAACATGACTTGAAGCTCTAGTTTTCTAGATCTTTTACAGTGTACAGTATTTTACATAACTGAGCTGTATTAAAAGCTTGTTCATTTACTTGCCAGGACCCTGGCTCTACTTTGAGAGTCATTGTAGAAGACTCTAACTTGCATCACGGTACTAACTAATAAGCTTAATTTTACTAACCCCAATTTTAAAGGTTCTGACATCTTTCACCTTGGGGTGATCTCATTCTTAGGACAACCGTTTACTTACCTGATTCCTTGGAGTAAACTTCTGCTCTGTTGTCCTCACCATATATAAGCCCTAGAACTATAGTTAGTGTGTTGTGGAATTTTAGTTTTGAATCCTGTATAAAAGAACTCCAAGACCTAAAAGGCAATTTATTTATGAAATTTATTTTCTTATATAAATTACTTATTTCTCTGGGCAGACAGCCTTCACCTTATTGCACTAATAGCACATCTGTAATATCAAGCTACAGGACAAGTCTTAACAAGAGGTTTGTATTCTTCAACGTAGCACTTGTCTACCAGGCACTGTAGAGGGGAGTGATGAGGAAAAGCCAGGACTGCTTAGGAGGATGGGAGGGGAGGGGGCAACATATACCCTTCTCACAATTGGTTTCCTCCCAGGAAGGGGAACATGCAAAGCTGACTTCTGGATTCTGGGAATGGGAAGAGTTGGGAGGCCGAGAAGCCCAATGCAACCCTGCAGCTCACCTCCCTTTATTTCTGAGGGAAGCAGGGACTCATCTTTTGCTCATTTGTAACAAATCACTCCAGCCTAGCTGACGCTTTGGGGTAAACAATGGAGTAGGAATCATCATCAGAATTAGAATTAGCAGCAATTAACAGGCAATACACTGCCACAGTGAGGCGGGTGTCATCCAGGTCCTGGGGACCTGCAGGCTGTGTATCCTAGGGAGAGGTGCCATTCAAGACCTGGCGCTGGCTCTGGAAGAGTCTCTTAACCTAATGCAGCTGGGACTCATTAGGCTCAGACGGCTCCTGACCACACTAATTATTAGCAAAGCTCTGGTGTTGGGTTCCAACCATTGGTCAAAGCTGTAATGAGACTGAGTATGTAGGCAGAGTGAAGGGGGTGCCTGAGTAGGAAGGGGGAGACCTGCTGGGAGAGGGTCAGTGGGCAGTGATTTTAACATGATTAGGCCCTCCTTGCAGATGGCGGCTGTGCTGAACGGGGAATGGGGTTGGAAGGAGCCACAAGCCCCCTCGCTCTGCCTTTGTACTACACTGAAGACAAGTTGCTCACATACTCTAAAGCACATTCTTGATACAGGAAGAAGGGCTTGTGGGGAAAGCGGCAATTTGGTATTGGGCAAGAGCCATGTTAAGCCTTCATGAGGGCAGCCACCACAGCCTTGGCATTGAGGCTGCGTAGGTCACAGTAGGTCTGGCCGGTGCCCACAAAGACGATGGGTTTGCTTGTGATGTACGTCATAGAAATAGCAGCTCCCACCTAAGTGGAGAAAGGGGACAGCCAATCAACACGAGCCCACTTTTCACTCGCCCTCTCAGGAACAGGAAGTGCTGGAGCCAAGGCTTCCTTGCAGCCTCAGCTCCTTTGCGGAGGATGCCCACTCCACCCTCCAGTCTCACGTTTACCTTGTCATCAATGGTATCAAATTTGGTAAGAACAATGCCATCAATGAGCCGAGGTGTCTGAGCCATAGAATGGTCAGCCAAGGCTCTATTGAACTTGACCTGGAAAGAAAAAAGGTGACAGAAGTGTAAGAACCATCTACATTGACTAAAGCTTAAGTTGTAAAGGGAACTGGGCCCACACTCTCACCAGCTGGTCCACGGCTTCATTGCCTACTAAGGCTTCTCCTACAAACAGCACCAAGTCGGGTGTATTGACAGTAATGAGTTTGGCCAGGGCAGTCATCAGAGGGGCATTGTCTTGCATGCGGCCCGCCGTGTCCACCAGCACCACGTCAAAGCCTTGGTTACGTGCTAAAGAAAGAAAGTGGTCAACTCTGAAAACCTGGACTACAACTAATCTCATTCCCAGCTTCCTTTCAGAAAATCCTAGTTTGGCTACCTGTTCACTGTCTTGGGCCCTGGATTTGGTTCCAAGGTAATGTGAGACAAACTTGATTGTATGCTTGGCCATCACCAAACATGTTCAGGAAAAGGAGGATAACAGGATAAAGGTGACCAAATTCAGGCTTCTTTGGTTAGGGTGTATTAACTTTGCCTGCAACTATATCTATTACCCAAAAGCAGAGCATGGCAAGTAACTGATCTGACTTTTTACTGTAATTAACGAGTCTGTAGTAGCACAAGCCTGATCTGCAAATTCCAAGAGAACCAAAGGAGGAAAAGGGACCCCAAATAAGCCCCCTGACTTCCCGTGCACTGTACCAAAAGCAATGGCTTCCATAGCAATGCCAGCAGCATCCTTGCCATAGCCCTTTTCAAACAACTGCACCATGGTGCGGCCACCATGCTTCTCTGGAGGGTGTAGGGCACTCAAACGCCGGGTGTGTGTACGCAGCTGCTCCACAGCTCCGGCACGAAATGTATCACAGGCAGCAATGAGGACACTGAAGCCATTCTCTAACAACCAGAAGGAAATCTGTGAAAAAGAAGTGAGAAAAGTCACCTAAAGCCAGGATTTTGAGACACGAGAAGTACACAAATATCAGCGACAGGCTGGGGAACTGCACTGACCTTGGCAAGATTAGTAGATTTCCCCACTCCATTAACACCACAGAAGGTGACGACGTAAGGGCGCTGGCGACGCTGGGCGTCCATGATGTCCCGGAGCATGTCTACACGACGCTGTGGCTGCAGAATCTGCACCAGGGACTCCTGTAGGGCTTGCTTTACTGTGGAAGTCACCGCTGAAAGAGGAGGTGGAGGACGTTTGCAGCTGTGTAAAGAATGCTCTCAAAAATGCCTAACACCTTTCTGAGCTAAGGGGACTAAGACAGTTAACTAGACTCTTTTCCCAGAAATCCAGAACAGACGCACATTACAAGGACTAACTCATTTAATCCTCTCAATAACCCTTAAAATCTAGGTTACAGAGATTTAGAGGTTAAGGATTTTGCCAAAAGTCACATACCTCGTAAGAACAGAGGTCTGTGCACTTAACCTCTTGGTACACATAAGCACTTTCTCACTTAGGGCAGTACTTACTGCTGAACGTCCCCATCACCTTCCCTTCCAGCTTGTTGGCAACGGATTCACAGAGCTGGACGGCAATGTCTGCAGCCACGTTCTTAGCTGAGGAGGGGGACAGGTAGGTCAGTTCCATGTCAGCAACAACCAGTCTTTATCGTGCAGGTGAGAAACGCTAGTGAGTCTGCGCTCAATTACCTGTATCCCGTGAACATGAGTCAGCCCGGTCCTCAGAGCTTACCAATTAGATGATCACGCATCTTGTCCAGCACAGATTCCATGTCTTCACGACTCAAGCTCTTTGAACCCACAAGGCCCTTCAGCATACCAAACATGCCACCCAGTGTGCCCTTGGTCGCACTGCAGGGACAGGAGATGACAAATATACATAGAGCGAGTAGGTGGGAGTTGTATCTTACCAGTTTTGCAGATGCATATGCCACTCCCCCACTTGAAATCTCCCTACCTAGGCTTGGTGGAGTTTTGAGCAGCCCCTTCGTCGTCGGAGCTGCTGCAGTCCAGATCCTGAAGCTGCCCCCCAGGCCCAGTCCCTCGAATCTGGAAGATACAGGGAAAGGAGATGGGGCCAGAAACACTAAGGTCTCTGAGGAAGAAGTCCACATTGCTCTATCTCTTTCATTTGGGGAAGCTCCAAGTATAACTTACCCCTCATTCATATCCAAGTATCATGTTCCCACACTCTACTTCCTCCCAATTTGTTATTAAAGATAACCTTCACTTTGACCCCTGTTGCCTCTTACCAAGTTGATGTCCTCAGACAAGGCAGCCTCAGGGCTTCCATTGGTGGTGGGAGTACTGTAATCCAACACTTCTTTGTTAGCACAGCCACCCAGTTCCCACACCCGGGGCGCTTTTTTGCCCTTCTCCTTTGGAGCATCTGACTTCGTGGACTTGCTGCAACAGGTTATGGTGGAGAAGCAGGAAAGGAAACATGAGCCGGAGACCAGAACTCCCTTGCACCCATCATGTCTAGATAACAGTATTTTGAGAGTACTGAAGAAAGAGTGCTCACTTGGACTTCTCCATACCCCTCCCATGCTTCTGAATGAACTCCTCTCGCTTCCTGCGGATCAGCTCCTCTTTGGAAAGTTCTACTCCGTTCTCAGGACCCACTGGAAGACCTGACTTTTCTGCAGGGACGGCTTTGCTGGTAGCCAAAGGACCATCAGAACCTGTTGGGAAAAAACTCACTGAAGGAAAAAAAAGACAATCTCAACCACTAGACAATGGCTAAAAGTCTTCCAAATTGTTCAAAGGAAATTTGGACCAAACATCTTGGAGTTCACAAGGCCTGGGGATTATAGGATGGTGAGCATTTGAGTGAGGAGGAGGCAAGCAATGACAGAAAGAAGGAACACCTCAGTCCTTAGCACCGTCTTAACACCTTTCACATCCCAGTGTATCCAAAGAACTCAAACTCGCCTTCCTTCTTGGCCCCCTTTTTTTTGCTATTCTTTGCTTTTTCCTTGGGCTTTTCCCCGCGTGTCTCAATCATGGACCTCACAGGTTTCTTGGCCTTTTCAGAATCTTCAAATTTCTTCATGGTAGTGGGAGCTCGGATCTTACTGCTCTCCTCTGCTTCACTAAACAAAAAAGAGAATGGTTTATCTTTCTACCCCGTGCAGGAGGAAAAATAACAGTCCAGAGAAAGGACTCTCACACCTAAGAGGACAATGAGAACTGGGGAGCAAATTAGGAATGTCTTTGAACACACCAATTTACCACCCTTGAACCACCTTCAGAGAGATCATCAAATCAGGGAAATAAATTGATTTTAGAGAAGGCAGGCCTCTCACCGAAGGAGCCGCAGGAAGTCATTTTGGAAATCAAAAGTGCCATTTAATAAACTCAAAGCACTTTGCTGTTGGATCTCCGTGCGGTACTTGTCCCGAAACAGCCGGTGCACGTCATCTATCAATTTGTCTACATACGTCAGTGTCAGGATCTTCTGAAAACCAACCTGTTTAGGGGAAGAAACAGAGCCAACAGATCTGCTTACATGCCAGCCTAGAATGGAGGGACGCCAACTCAACCCTGGCTTTCAGAGATAGTTCAGCTACCTGGCCGGTTTCCCTGTCCTGACAGGCAGCCAAGCTCCCTGCCTGGGCCCAGTAGCTGCTGTTTTCCCCCATCTACCTTTCTAGTTTTTTCAGTTACGTCATCATATACACTGGCTGCAATTAATCAGAGTTCTCTTAAT